AAGGGCTGGTTAGCAATGAAGTGACTAGGGAGTAGAAGGGCTAGGCAGTGTGCAATTCTTAACACTTGGTTGGTTCCTTCTCTTCGAAGCCTTTAATACTGAATACCAGTGGAGCTAATGGAAAGCTGAAAGTGTTTAACATTATTCCTTAAATGATGTAGTTCCACTTTCCCTGACAGATACTCATATACTGTAAAATCACAACCTGTTAGTCAAAATAGATAAGGGTAGACAAAGTGTGGTCACCAAAACCTCTTAAAGACTATCAGTATATTGGACTAATGACCGGCAGCTCAGAGCTCTATGTAAATTTTTCATCCATGTTTTTAAACAAACGTTTGAAATTATATGGTATAAAGCAAAAAATAGTTAGACTTTATAAGTATTAAAAATTATAGCAAATTCCTATAAAGCTAGAATATTTCTAATTAAGCTACATTTAACATTTTAAGGTCAAATTTTAAGGTTTAATGACAATGATGAATATTAATGTTTTTCCTTAACTAAGGTTCTTATGAATTATATATTTTGCAATGTGTTAAAAAGCTATCACTTGGGTTTATGGCTATTTTATATTATTTTTTGTTGAAATTAAAATCAACAGCATTGTAAATCCTATTATTAGGAGTAAGCTAAAAAAAACAAAAGAAAAAACTAGAATGTAGTTATTTTAGAAAATGGTTGTAGCAAAGAATTCTGGTTTTCCTCAGCCTACCTCTATGAAGCTATTTCTAAAAAGCACTAGTACTTAGGCATTTAGTTCATCAAGTTATACTCCTAAATTAGAGTAGTAATTTTTCTTGTTCCAATTAAGTAAGCTGTAACACATTAAAAATATAAATGAATGTGCAATCAATCCATTTCTACACTAACTAGCTAGGCATTCTCTCATTTAAGAGAATGACCCTTGAAATTTTCTAAATGCATTCTGAAAGAACCTATCATTCTTGATTTTAATTTGTAATCTATTTTATAAGCTAGTTTATAAAACAACAGGTATAGGTTAAATATTGAATTATGTGAACCAAATATACACTTAAAATCACACTTAAAAAATAGTGATTATCAACCAACCCACTGAGCATCCATCTACCTCCACAAATTGGTATTTATGTTCATAAGTTTAGGTTGCGGTATATTCCTAGAATATAAAGTCAGGAAAGACTATAAAACAATTCAGGGAAAAATTCTATCAAAGTACTGTTTTAACTTGAGAGAAGTTGAATCAACGTAAAATATCTTAACACTTCTATCAGGGAATACTAACTACATTTCTAAAATGGTTTATAACTCCATTATCTTTATACGTAATTTGTGAACACCTTTTAAAAGATATACAAGATATAAATTTTCCAGAGGGCCTAAATCAATCTGGTAGGCCAGTACCCAAGTTAATGCAATGATCCTAAATACCCTATATTTTTTTAATCGAGAGTGATTTTGATGTTAAGTTGCATAATCATTTATTACTTGAAAATGTTTCCTAATCAAATATATATGAGTTCTGACTCAAACCCACACATCTCACTGAACCACTGGTTCTTAAACTCTTGGGAGCCATGGACTTGTTTGAAAATCCACAGTGCCTAAACCTGAAGGTTTGGTTCCATGACAGATTATGATCCTCTGCACCAGAAGTAGCATATATTTATCTATATAAGACCTCAAATATGCTCCCACCCTGTTTGGAAAATTAATTTTTAACTCTAAGAAATCACAATTTTAATGTAGTTTAGAAGTATTACAAAAATATTTCTAAATGCTTATTCCTTTAAACTTTGACTAATTTTGCTTCTTGCAATGGGATTAGAATAAAGGCAGGAATTCTTATTTGTAATACGGTGGGGCCTTAACTTACAAGTTTAATTCGTTCCATGACGGAGCTCGTAACTCAAATTACTCGTATGTCAAATCTTAGAGTGAGACATGTGACGCTGGGCTGATGTGGCGTTCACTGTGACGTTCGCTGCGCCAACTAGCGGTGGGGTATCTGAAGCTGGCTCATAATCCGAATTTTAGCTCGCAACTCAAAGCAAAAAATCCTTTGAGAGATGGCTCGTATCTTGAAAAACTCATTAGTTGGGACATTCGTAAGTCAAGGCCCCACTGTATAACAACAGTATGTCTTAGAATAGTTGTATCTCAAGTAAACACTACAAATGATATCTAAAGTCCTGAAATAAGATAATTCACATTTAAAAATAAATTAGCCCAGTGGCATAAGATTAAATCCTAAACTCCAAATAAAAAATTTGGCATTATCTCCCATTATCTGTTTGCAGATGCAAAATATCAGCTGCTATACAGAAACTGTATATTATTCATGGGGAGAAAGAAAACAAGCAGGGGCAGTGGCCATATTTATTTTCTTTGTCATTAACGTACCCTCTATCATTGTAAACAAATGAACGTAGGTAGTGCCCTACACTAAACTTGGGAAGTAACTGAGTCAACATATTATCTTTAAAGGAAATTATTACAGATGTGTAAAACATTTGCTTTATTTATTAACAATCTTACACTAAGTATCCTTTCTTAAGTACTCCAAGAAATAATTCTGTAACAAAAGTGAACCCTAGAGTAGATATACCCAAAAGATAATTTTCCTGGGTACCAGTACAATTTGTGATCAATTTCCATTCAGAGTCACTGAACCTATTTTCATTAAAGCCTATAATTATTTATTTTTCTAATTCTATTCTCTTTTCCATCTAAACATTATCTTAGTTTAGCATATATCTGTCAAAGATATTCTATTCCAAAAAGGCAAAGCATAGTAGTCAGGGAGAGGCAGCCTAGAGCCCAGCCATCCGCCAGCTCCAAAGTCTTAATAGGTGTTGACCTTATGCATGTCCTTTAACTTCTCTGCATCTCACTTCTGTATCTGCAGTGGTATTTACCTTATAAAGCTATTATGGTGGTGAGGGAATAATGTAAAACTTACAGAACAGTGCCAAGAGCATAGTTATATACTCAAAAAAGTTTGAACTACTATCATTCCAGTTTTTTCATCAAACCAAATAGCATTAGTCTAACCAGCCTAGGGATCACAATTTGGAAAACCAAATGAGATGTAAATCTAAGGATTCAGCATGTTCAGAAACATTGCCTTATCAAATTATTAAAATAATGGCTAAATGCTTAGTAAAGACACTACAATCAAATCCTTGTATTTGGTATCCTTGTATATGTAAACCCAAACATTTATTTAGAAAATATAAAAAGTTACTATTAATAATTGTCTTGCCCTTTTTTCAGACTATCTTTTAAATTTTCAATAGTGCCACATAATTTTGAAACTAAATTTTATTACAAATGAACATGAACTTCAAAGAGCTGTAGTGCTGAAATAACTCCTGCTATGATTAGAGAAATTCTACTCAGGAAGTACAGTATACATGAATTTGTGGTACTTGCCCAAATATTACAAGTATATAAATAATTTTGTAAAGTTGTTTCTTACACATAGGATCTAAAATGCAAAGAAAAATGGAATTTGTATTCAAAACAAATAAAGCAACACTGGCTTCTATATGCTAAACCTATAAGACAGATTTTTTTCTTAAGCACTCTAGATACAAATATTAACTGTATGGGCTGAAAACTTTTTAATTTTCAATGTAATTCAACAAGGTACACAAGTAGAACTCTATAAATATATCCCCTATAAGAATCATATTTATCACAAATACTACCAAAACCCTCTGAAAAACATAAACTACAAACACATTTTAAAGAAATTCTCATTTTTAACAACTACAAAAGCAATGAATAGCAACAAAGTTATTTGGTTTAAAAAACGAAGGGCAGTGTAATGTAAATACAAATACTGGATTGTTTTTGAGGATGCAGTCTTGAGTTTCTTAATACAACTAAACACTTCCAAAAGTAGAAAGACATACTCTATACAATTTAAAGGCTTAACCTAAAGCTCTAAAAAGAAAAAAAAATTAAGCAGTAGATGAAAAGTAGGTATGTAGAAATAATGGTATAAAATATTATTTTTATACAATGGGTACCACTCTTTAAAGAGATAAGGCTTAATATGATTATTTTTGGACTATGAGTATTGCCCACAATTTTTATAGTAGTCTCAAACCATTCAAAATTCAGTATTCAAAAAATGTTTTGCTATTTCTGAAGTGACTGAATATAGTACAGGATGCAATTTAATGTCAACTTACCTATGCTTTTCCACCCAATAAAAATAAAACCTTTTTTGAGCTTAGGAGAGAATCTATCTTTTGAATGATTGATCTCTATATAAATTCAACTTTTAGGGATGTCAGAATTTTGTAATATGAACTAATCTCCACCGAGAATTGGCCCAAGTTTAAACAGAAGACACAAAAGAGACATAGGTGTCAAACAGTTTAAGTCTGCCCTATGCAATTATATAGTCATAATTACTTTGTACATGAAAGTGATTTAAAGTAAAAAATATTTTTGTAAAAGGTATTATTAATATTACTAATACAGTAGTCCCCCCTTATCTGTGGTTTTCCTTTCCATGGTTTCAGGTATGCATGATCAACTGTGATCTAAAAATATTAAATGGAAAATTCCAGAAATGAACAATTCCTAAGTTTTAAATTACATGCAGTTCTGAGTACTTCATCTCATCATGTAGGCACTGTAATCTCACAAGAGTGAGGCCAGTACAATATTTTGAGAGATCACATTCACATACCTTTTATTACAGTATATTATGTCTATTTTATTGTTTATATCTTACTGCGCCTAATTATAAATTCATCATGATCATAGGTATGTGTGTATAGAGGAAAACAGTCTATATAGAGTTTGGTACAATCTGTGGTTTCAAGCATCGAACAAGGAGGGTTTTGAACATATCTCCATGGAGAAGGGGGGAATACTGTACTTATATCAAAGTAGAATTTTCTGAGTTAGTTCCATTTTACCCATTTCCTTTGAAAAGTACCCTTCTGCCACAATGTAAACAAAAATGATCCATAAAATGGTAACATTAGACATCAAAATTTGTGGTGTGGGCCCTTAAATGGAGACCAAATCTTTATTAACTCAAAGCTAGAGAGGTTTTGTTTCTTATACATGCCCAGAGGTAACTAATATTAACTCACATTTTCTGTAAGCCTTGAAGAATTTTTATTTAACATAATGAGAGGTTTAATAACTTAGATTAAAGACTATCTTGCACTCTTCTCTTGTTGTTCACCAACTGTTTTTATGACGATAACTCCGAGATCTGGAATGTGATCGAAAATGAGAGTGTTTTGCTGTCTGTGCTTTTGTGTCAGAATTGGTATACCCTTTAGGAGATTTACATGGGGATCTTACTATGGAGTCAGAATGTCTTCCATGTGATCTTGATTTTGTTCCTGAGCTAGTCTGCTTTTGAGGTGAACTTGATTGTGATTTTCCTATTGATTTTGATCTTTTTTCTAAGGACTTGGACCTTGACCGTCCTCTAGAACCAGAATTCCGTCTTGGAGTTCTTGACTGCCTTGCTGAGGTAGACCGCCTTGGTAGTGACTTGGAGCGAGATTTAGACTGGCTGTAAGAAAGTCGCCTGTGTCGAGACCTGCAAACATCCACAATGTTAGAGTATATATTTCACACAAAAGCAGTTAATAGATTAGGAAAAAACACTTGCAGGAAATTATATACTTCAGATAATATTAGTTATGTTTTTATTGGCTAAGTTAAAAGAAATAATTCTAATTTTATTATGCATGCTTTTGGTTCAAACATAACAACTTTGTAATACTCATTATATAGAATATATAACCAAAAGATATTTACTTTGCTACATACTAGTAATTCTTATGACATGGGTCAGTTCTGAAAAATACCCTGCATATTTAGTATGGGTTACACAACTCCCAAGAGGTATAAAAATCTAAAGAAAAAAATGTAAAAGAGAGAGGGAAAGAAAATAATTATTTAAAGTTTATCAAATAATGCTTATAACAACAAAAATTTAGATGCAGGACTTCTGAATTCTACCATGATAAAACACTTGTACTAGATTAATCTTCCCATAGAAATTTATATAAAAAAGGTAGAAAATGATGATGGAAGGAGACTTAACTCGGGGTGGTGAACAAATGATACAATATACAAAGATGTATTATAGAATAACACACCTGAAACCCATATAACTTTATTAACCAATCTCACTCCAATAAATTCAATTTTAAAAAGAGTAAAAGAGGGAGAACCAAGATGGCGGCATAGGTTAACACCGGAGTTTGCTGCCTCGAACAACCACTTCAAAAATACAACTAAAAGACAGAACGGACATCACCCCGAACCACAGGAAAGCTGGCTGAGTGGA